AGTGCTCATCACTATCACTTATACCGTTCTGATCTTCAGTACAGATTTTTCGTTGCGATATAAGGCAAGTTTGTTTAGAATTCTTTACAAATTATTCCATATTCCTCTGTAATTATCATTTTTTCTAAAAGTTCATTGTTTCAAATATTGGGCACAGCTTTTTATTACATGTCTTATACGTTTTGGCGGTTCTTACAACCTTAAAGCTTCCTTGGATCATTTATTTGCTCGTTCACACTCGTGCAATTTCTCATTCACGCTTTCAAATAATTCTAAGTAAGACTAATGAATGAGTGGTACACGACTTAGGAAAGTATGATATTTAGTGGGTTAATCGTCAGGTTTAACCGCGAGACGAACGTTGATAGCTGAGTCGCGTGACTACAGAATCGAGTAACATATCATCGCGAGATCCCATAGATCACGGCCGGTACGGGGCACCGCGGGGCCCGCCGTAAATACAAACCATACATAGAGTTCGTGTCGCAATTCAGAAGCCTGTACGCGATCGTTCCTAGATTTATGAGACGATCCCGTCACTCCTGAATCCTTATACCATTTTTATCTCCTCTCTCCTCGATATCGCGTAACACCCTTTATGCATCGGTGCATTTGCGTAATTGCGATTCCATCGATTTCGGAATTTCATACGGCTAATCATCGGAGTTTTATGCTGCTCGGTGAGCTTTCTGAATCTGCAGCGCGAAGTTGCGTAATATTTCCTGGGCCGATAGCGAGTTTTCACTGCTCGGAAAAGTTGGAGAACCGCGAAACCGAAGAGAGATCAAGAAGACGGCTGAGCGTGCGAGACTTCCGCGAAACTTCGAACACGGCACTCCACTCGGTGAGAGATCTCGATGCCAAGCTGGGATTTAAAGCTCGTGTACTCGCGAGAATCGGCACGGTTTAAGTCAATTGTACTGGCTTTGGAAGTGTGTGTATATAGATATATATATATATATCTTAGAAGAATATTTTTAAGCCGAGCGAAGACAGTTTTACCCTCGAACGTTATACCTTTCCCCGTGACGATTTTATTCTTAATTGGACCACGTATTAATCTTGCTTGGACGTGTGACCGCGACGATTTATTCGACTTAGTATATGTAGCTGTTCGTAGCCTGGGAGATAAGCAAGACGGAGAAAAGTAAAGCGGAAGGACGCGCGGGATTACGAGGACTTAACTAAACGGACAGCGGAAGGGCGACGTAGGATATCACTTGACGTTTTATCGCGGCGATGCGACGGCACGCGTGTCTCCTCTTTTATTTAATCAAGTCCCGGGGCGAGTCGGAATTATTCGAATATACACGGCGAAATGTATCATAATATACGAGTATAATAGATTGCCGTTCTGTTAATGGTGAACGAAACGGCGAGCTCGTCGCTTTGTGTAGCTGTGACAGCGCGTCTGGCCGTCCTCCCGTGCATGTAATAATTGGTAATTATTTAATAAAGGAGGCGCCGGACGCGCATTGTAAAACGGGAACGGGGATCGACAGAAAATATTCGAATATAATTAACGCCCGTGCCCGACACCTTGACGTTTTATCCGTTTCCGGCCTGTTCTCGTTACGATTAATTAATAATAAGCGCTTAATTAAGCGAATGGATGAACGCTTTTGCTGATTGCGCTCGCGTTCTCGATATGTAGCGTGCCTACGTGCGTGGCTTGTTAATGTGTTGCACGTACTGGGTGGGTCTCGTTAGTATCCCAGGATAAGACAGAACTGTAGGTTCACCCTGTAAAAAAATGTACTAATAATTGACTCTTGCACATGATAAAATCGCAGAACTAACAACGTGACAGCTTAATTGAATGCCCGTAACTCTACCCCTATATTTAAAAATTTATTCCTTAACGAGAGGAGTTAAGAGGAAATTGCATAGGATTTTTCTTTTATTTGGTAATTGGAGCTCCAACTTTTGTCTGAATCACTTTTCGCTAGGACGAAGATACAATTTTTGCAATAAACAGTTTTATTTATTAATTAATTATTGGCGCTGGCAAAAAAGTTTTTATACAGAAGTTGTAGCCACTGACGTCCTCTATAAGAAAGATTCTATGTATTTTTCTTCTAACTTTGATATTTAACGAGTTACGTATGATTATTTGGCATTTTATGGGTACTGACGAAATTCGGTCATTCCACCGTCGATTCAGCCAACTTTTCGCAAAAAATTTCGTTTTTCCTCAATTACTCCTAAACCGTTGAACTTACGGGAAAATTGCATACAACCTTTCTTGTAGCTCTCGACGAGATCTACAATATCCATCTAAAAATTCTTTGCTAGCATCAATATTTAACGAGTTATTGACGAAAAACGAAAAAACAGTTTTTTGCAAATTA